CCAAGGTACCCTTATGACAAGGCTCCTGTGACATTGCCTCAGCCAGGGCTGGAAGGGCTCCTCATTCAGCGCTGGTTCCCACGTCCGCTGTCCGGTCAGGTTGCTCCGGCAGAAAGTGATAGTCCTTGAGTGAGGTAGGATGGGCGAAGGTGGGGGTGCCCCAGGGAATATCGAGAGGTGCAAGGGCAGGGTCACGTGAGGGAGTGATGTGGCGTGATCTATAATCGCCATACCTTTCACTCGCCTTTCCGCACACCAGACTACGATGGGAGACTGCTGCGAATGGTCCCGCTGCCGACAGATGAATCGATTCAAATTCGATCAACAGTGCACCGTGTTAGGAAACCAGTTTTGCTATGTTCTTAGGTTCTTGTTGAGACTTGGACTTGCGCGTGCCTTGGTTCTCTGTCCAATGGTGCTGTCTGCTTCCTACGTGAAAGGAAGTGGGCAAAGTTATTGGATAAATACATGCAATTTCTGACCTTGAGTATCTTTCAGTTTAGAGCTTGATTTATTTCATGTGTTCGTTGAGGTTTTCTGCTCTCTTTATGTCCCCTCTGATTGAAATTTAGTCAAGGTTTTCGTTTGCTTCTCTCTGGGGTGCTGAGATTCTCTCGAAGCTTAGAGTCCCCTGCTTAAGAGTTTGCCAGTTTGGTGAATAAGCATGTGTTGGCGTTTCTCTGGGCTTTGTCATCTGATTGGATTTCTTTTGGAATTCTCAAAGTTTTGACTTGGTTACTTCTGGGCACAGTTTTGCTAACTCTTGTTGTTGTCACTCTGTGTAGAATTTCTTGTTTTTGGTGCTTAGGGACATCCATTAAAATTGGAACGATACGGAGAAGATTAGCACGGCCCCTAAGGATGACACGCATAAATCGAGAAATGGTCCAGATTAAATTTAAAAAAAAAAGGATTTCTTGTTTTGCAGAGGACTGCTTAGATCTGGTGAGTAGGTATCTGTTAGAATTTCTCTGGAATTCTTAGGCCAGTTTTTGTTGATTTATTTGTTCTTGGTAAAAGTCCGTGCTACAGGGGAGGGGCCCTGCCTGAGGCACAAGTGGTTAACAGGGACCCCAGCTCCTGACAACCCGGTCCAAGACTGAAATTAGGGTTTGGGGGTCCAAATGTTATTGGGTGGGGGGGGGGGGGGGGGGGGGGACGGGGGGTTTGCCTGTTTTTGTAAGTAGTTAGTATGATCTCCACTCTATGAATTGGCGGCAAGTTTGGTTAAAATGACCCTTGGGTTTTGTCATAAATGGCATGACAAGTTGTCTGAAATTTTGGGCCTCCATTAACCTGCTCCCTCGAGGCTGCATGGCAGAGACCTTGCAATCCCTCAAATTTTGACACTATCCTTCTTGTATTGCTGCCTTGGGCATTCGGCCGGTAAATAAAATTTGGTTTTAGGGGGGGGAAAAAGGGTAATAGATATACCCTGCGTAGCACGGTGACCGTGTCCGCGCCCCTCCGCATTCGCGCAAACGTGTTCGCGTATTTGCGTGAATGGCTCATGAATGTGTTCGCACTGTTCGGGCGAACATCTTTTTTTTGGTACAAAAAATAATAATAATTAAGGTTGCCGGCATTCAGGTTCGGCCGAACTCCCGAACCCGAACCTGCCGAATGTTCGGCGCCCCTTGGGGAACGCGGACCTCAAAAAAAGAAGAAGAAAAAAAAAGCAAAAATCTGAAAAATATATATGTTATGCAGAAAAATAAAACGAACAACATTTTTTCCCCCTTTTTTATAAAAAAAGGAAAAGCATTCTTTTATACAAGCCGGGAGACGGGCCCGGCGTCCCTCACATATGTACAGTCAGCCCCCAATTATGAGTGAGGCCTCACCGGCCAAGCCCATATCAGGAGTCGCCGAATCCCAACAACTGAGAAGTCTACAAACCGAAACAAATGAGAAATCTACAAACCAAACCGTAGCTTCTACTTCAATCTCAGTCTATACTCAGACCGTTCTCAGATTCTATGTCTCTTTTCTTTTTCAAAAATCTTCTAGCAAAAGAACTAATGTAATCAAGGCCCAAAGGGTGACCAACTCTAAATCATCACATTCCTATTAAAAACCGAAAGAAAAGACAAAAGAACAAAACAACAACTAACATTTGCCTCAGCTTTACATCCGAATTCCTTACCAAATGTGAAATACAAATACAAATTAAATATGAAAAACAAATAATAATAAGAAAAATAAAATGAAAAGAGAATTAAAATCAGTGAGTGGGCGAGCACGTTTTCGACACCGCCAGCTTTGGCAATTTTTCATTTTTTTTCTTGGGATAGCCAAATGCCCTGAGAATTTACAGATGTGTATTTAACATAATATAAAGCTCATAAAAATAGTTTCAAAAAATAATAAAATATTTAAGGGACCAAAATAAAATCAAAACAAAAAGTGAAAAGCGAAAAAAACAAAAAAAACTGAGTGGCCGAGCATGTTTTGACACCACCATCTTTGGCAATTGTTAATTTTGTTTTGGCTTTGCAAAATGCCTTGAAAATTTGTATGCATGTAGCGCATGTCATACAGAACTCACAAAAGAAAAACAAAAACTATATATATATATTTTTAGACCTTGAAATAGTTTTTGGTGGGGGCCGAACTCCTTCAGGTTCGGACCCCGAATGCCCGAACGTTCAGGGGTCAGCCTGGGGGCCCCCAAACGTTCGGCCTGGTAACCATGACAATATTTTTTTTTTTTCGTTTTTTTTTTTTTTTTACTCACATTTGGCTAAGAATTTGAACATGACTCCAAGGGAAAAGTTGCTTGTATTGTTCTTTTTACATGACATATACGTTTTCAGATTTTTACGAGTTTTTTTAATTATTATAAATGAATACTTTTTCGCGTTCGGAGGGTTGTGGGTGTTCTATCATGTTCGGGTGAACATGTTCGTGTTCACCTCCGAACGCGAACACAATGCTACGCAGGATATACCTGCTTTTTTCAGAATTATCATTGGTGGAAATGAGAATTGGAAATCAGACAAGCGTGACGGAGCGGTGGAGCGCAAGAGCCCAAAGGTGCTGTGGGGCATGACAGCTACCTTGCCGCCATGGTCAGGTCACCACACTAGCTGACTTCATCCGCCCCTGCCGTTCCCGGCTCTGTGATACGGTTCCGAATGGTTTCTGCTGGTGGGGCTTGTGTTGAGTGCGTTGGTGTGTGACTGTGGCGTGTTCACTGGATGCTGCTCGTTAACACCTGTATGGAGCCGTGATCAGCGTGCGCATGCACGACTTGTTTTAGATGTGGAGCTCTGGAGATGCCATTTTAGTTGTTGCCCTTTTAGGCATTCGTACCTGGATGGGTTCTTGGTTGAAGTTGGAGTAAGCTCGTGTGATCATTTTGGAGCACGACGCGCAAGTACCAAGTGCGGTGTGTGTCTTCTGCCACCTTGACGTCTTTCTTGTTTTGTGGGCTGGTGGACAGCACTGATGGTTGCTAAGCCTAACTCCGTGAATTATTTCAAAATTCACTGCCACACGGCACTAGGACTAAGAAATTAAGACTCACCTGTTTGGGGAAACTCAAAACTAAATTGCCTCTCTCCCCCAACAGCCCCCCACCATCCTCCCCCACAACACCACCCAAATCCCTGTCCTCCGGTACCCCCCATTCAGCAGGGTCAGGCCAAACTCGGTGTGAGGTCATTGTCAAGCCCACTAGCGGCTTAAACGACCAGTGTCCTGGATCCTCAGTGCCACTGGGATGCAAAGGGGCTGCTGAGCAGTCCAGTGCCCACCCAGCCCCCAACCTCCACTAAGAGGTTGTGATTGCAATGGTAAGACGTCATCAGGAACAGAAACTGGGCTCTTGCTCCCAACACCCAAGTTTCGGCAGGCCCAGGATCAGGCAAAGTACAAGTTTGACAAAATAGGTTTGAGGGCTGTACAACATAAACCCGGGCCCTCTACAGAAAAAGGCTTGGGAACTGTACAAAGGTTCAGGGACTGTGGTAGTTTAAACCACCAGTACACCCGGGCCTGTAGGCGCTCTCCACTGCGCGCCAAGCTTAGCCGAACTGCCAGAGGCACACTTCATATCTTTTTGGGCTGGTGCCGCCAGCCATTGTGGTCCAATAGGCCCAAGGCGCAGAGTTTTTGGAGTAGGCGGCAAAACATTTTCAGCAAGACAGAGGCCGTGTGCTAGCGGTTTAAATGAAAATCAGCCTGTCATACCTGCATAATGGCTGAGCGCTATGCACTTAACTCCTGATCAGGAACTCAAGAGTTCAAAACCTCTACTGGATGCAATGCAACTCCCGTCAAAAACTAAATAGCATAAATCCACCTGCCTGAACGGAAGTCTCAGATGGCACCAACCGTTTCCCTCAGGAATACAGTTAAGAAAAGCGAAGAACAGAATTTCTTTGGTGTCCCTTCAGAACACCTAACACAGGTTAATCCCTCCTCAACAACTTCAACCCAATATCTCCTCTGCTAAGTGCCTCACAGCCGCAGTCAAACTGTCGCATAGGCTACCAAAAACAACTGCAGACATGCTCACATCCATCCCACACAGTACCAGCCAACCCGCATAGTACTACCCACTGGATGTAGTACCCATAGCACGCGGCCCACATAATAGCACCCAGTGCACCCAACCCACATAACAGCACTCAGTGCGCATAGCCCTTAACACATAGCACCTGGCCCACATAATAGCAGCCAGTGTCCACAGCACCCGGCATCCATAGTAGCACGCAGTACGCATAGCAGCCAGCATGCTCTGCATACCAGCCAGTTCTACATAGCAAGTGCATAGAGGCGGCCTGCCGTTCGGCCTTCCATTCTGTCAAGGGTTCTGCAGCCCCTTGCACCCCCCCCTCTCTGCCATGAGTGGAGCAGTGGCAGGCAGCTAACATGTTATTATTGACGTCCGACGGTATTGTGGCAAGATGGCAGATGATGTGTGACATGATGACAGAGCCAAAAAAGCAACCAAGGGCGAGAAAGGTGTCAGATGTGGCTGGGCAATACATCACCTGGAGGAAAAGAAATGCAATTCGCTTCCGCATTCCTTCCAGGGCTTTCATTGAGCGCCCACGATTAAGTAGATCTGCCTCACGATCGACGAGAGAGATAATCTCCTGCGTCAATTCACAGTCAAACTCCTTGACCGTCCACTTCACATGCAATAGAACATCCAGCCGCTCGTCCATACCCAATCCTTTCGCAAGCAGCCCATGGTAAAGCTGCAAAATTAGTCCGGTATTAATGCATTAGATAAAAGCTAATGAAGGAGGAGAAATCAGAAATCTCAGCTAGATCGTAAATAGTAAATAGTAAATAGTAAATAGTAAATAGTAAATACTAAATACTAAATAGGGATCCATCTCAAGGCCCATGAACTTGCTGCACATAACTCATCAAATAATGGGCACAGGATGGATCATATCTAACAGGCCCAGGACCATAAGGCCCTGTGTATTTATTAAAATTTAAAATTTTAAAAACTGAAAGATAGGAAGAAGGTGCAGATGCCCAGGAAAGAACTTCAGAGGCGGAGAATTTTGAAAAAAATGGCAGAAAATGTGACAAAAAGACGCTTTGGGTGAAGGGAAGAAAAGGCAGAACTCGAGAGAACATAATCAGAAAAAGACAAAAGGGTGTCTTTGCAACAAACTTGCAATCAGTACATTGGGCATCGTCGAATCAAGGGATCCGAGTCTGGGTTCGGAACTTGGACAGCTCGGTCCCAAGTGCAGTTCTAACAGTTTAGGGTCTGATAGGACATAGGCCGATTTCAGTCCAGTCTGTCTTAGCCTCAGGTAGGTGGGGCCTGGTAGGTTAAGGGTCCACCTTAGCCCAGTCTCAGGTAAGCCAGCGGTCCGGGGACCTAGGACGATCAAAGAAAATCCAGAAACATAAAGTCCGACAGACCCAAGCCAGCAGACTACTAGGTCTGCAAGTTCAAGGGCTGGTAAACTGAATCGTCACATACAAAAGCAGAGCAACAGTGGCCATCATCCTTCATTCTATTCGTACTTGCTGCGGAAGCGCTGTTGCATGGTAGTGTGCCCAAATGATGAGTCAGACAGGAAGTGAGGCGGAGGTAGCTATAGTCAACAGGTGCTGGACACCGTAGTTGTAGTCTACCATAAGCAAGGAGGAGAGAGAGAGAGAGAGAGAGAGAGAGAGGCCTGATGGTCAAGAGTGAGAAATCATCCTTGGTTGTTGCTTGCTGGCAGCTCCATATCCCATGGCTTTGGTTAGTTGCACCTTCTTGTTATTCTGGAGTGAAAATGTGCACCTCGGATTGACTTATGCTATAGTTCGATGCATGAAGCTCGGGCTCATTACTTTGTTTATTACTTTTGCACATATTGATGCAACTTAGCTGTACACTTTGGTGGTTGCTTCAATACTTGTTGCCTCCCTCTCTCCTTCCTGTCTGGGTTAGGGGTGTGGCGTGTGTAGGTGTGGGGGAGGGAGGGGGAGGGAGGGGGTCTCAATGGAAGTCTCGCATCAGCTGATTATGGTAAATTTGAGAAAGTTTTTTTTTTTTGCACACCTGCATGAGCTCACTGGCTCGTATTGTTGTGGGTGTCTGTACATCAACAAAATCACCCTTCCTCACTGGCCATTTCTTTGGTGCTGCCATCGCCTGCATTTTTTCCTCTATCCGATCTGCCCGGTTCGCCTTGCTCGCTGTTATTTTCAAGCGATCTATTGTTTGCAGCAGTTTTGTCTCCTGAAAACTCCGTGCAACACATTCGCGCTTGTTAAGGTTACGTGAAACAAGTTAAACAACAACAAATAGAATTCTGCAAATTGCCAAATTCATAATTCAAACCTCAGGTTCTGATCTTTCAAGACAGGCAGATGGTAAGTAAGTCAAACATGCGAAGTGGGTAGAAGTCACATCATTGAAGACAAAGAAAAGAGTAATGACAACAGAAGAACAGCGTTGTCTCCAGTCTACAAGGACGATAAAGACTTTGCTAATGAGATCCCTCATGTGTCCATGTATGTACTGTGTACTACTGTCCCAATTGTGACAGATATCCTCAGTAGCTTACCAAAGCTGACTCTCCATGTCCCAACACATGCACTTCCCTTTCTCTTCCCAATATCACAAGAGCAATCATCAAACCCATTATCGATATCAGGCTCAGGAATATGATCACTTCATGGTTGATTTTGTAGATGGATTACGAAGTCCGCTTCCTCCTTGAAATAGGAGATTCTACAGAATCCTTTGCAATAATTCATGCACAGCATTCTATCCTTTCAGAAGCAGCTCACCTAGACAGCAACAGCAAGACCCCTTCATTCACTTGCAGAAGTTCCTCTGCCTCATATTATAGGGCAAGGCAGATACACGTGCACTGGCCTAAGCTATGGCGGTGGTACAGATCTGAACATTTGGGGTCCAGAGATCTCTGGATTCTCTACCAGGTGCCTGTGAAAGAGTACCCAAACGTGGACGTGATATCACTGGAGTGACTGGACAGATCGAAAGGTAGAAGATAAACATGGCCCCTCGCCAATTTGGTAGCTGCATTTCTCTTGAAATGTGGAGGCAATCAAGATCCCTGCAAAATGAAGGCTCAGAGATACCCACGGGGTCAGAACACAAGKAAATGGGGGGGGGGGGGGGGTMAAAATGAAGTTCAAATTAGTCGAAAGGGGTGCACAGGCCTGGGGGTACGAGTAGGATGGTCAAAATTCCAAGCATCGACTTTTTGTGCCATTATTTGTTTGTCTTTTATTGTTTCGTCTTTGTTTTCAAAGTTTTACATGTAGAAGGAAATTCTCCAAACTTATGACAAACCATATCGTCAGTAATCTGTAAACCAACAAAATATTTTCCGTTATAAACTTGTGCATAATACAAGATCAGGGGGGGCAAAATACAAGATCAACATGACCACATTTTCCAACAGTGGCGAGCCACATGCTGATGCTTTTCAACAGACAAGCATCTACAAACGGACCTTTCCAAGTAGATCGTGACATAACTTTATTCTTTTCTAAGTTCTCGTGTCATCAAAGCGTGTCTCACATGGAGAGGTGCAACTCAGAAAGGGTCCAGTGCAAATGGTCCTTCATGGAAAATACAGCTGTCCAAATTTTACACAGCAAGGGGGGCAGCATCTTGCACACAAATCTATTGGGGCAGGCTCCCTTCTTCGGTGAAATCTCAGCCATCGGTTGGCATATGATCTCAAGCATTCAACTCTGTCCCATAAAGACTGCCGGTATGATGGTGGACCTTTGGAGACTCGGCGGAGAGTCATTCAGGAGGAGTTATATGCTGGATAGCAGCAGCCAGTGTCTTACCTGGAGGGAGAAGAGGGTGGCATCCACAACTGCCATGGCTAAGTGAGGTTGTGGCTGTGAGTGCCCACCTGTTTAACGGTGCAGAAGGCTGGCACTGCCCCATTAGGGGATGTATGTTGTCGGTCCTTACATCATATAGGCTACATCATCATTTGGCAAACCCGTCCAAATGCAGCACTGAAGACTGGAGGCTTCATCCCTTGTTTGAACGCCATTAATGGATTGAAGGAACTTCGGTCACATTTCGTTTCGCTACCCAAGAGCAAATCAGATTTGGGAATCCTCCTTCCTAACTCCTCAAGGGAATCAGTCACACTCCCAGTGCAGAGGACTTGTCATCAGACTGTGACTGGAGGGTAGCTTCAGGGTCAGGGTCAGCAGTTATAGCGGCCATGGGCTGAGAGGGTGAGGTAGATACAGCTGGACCGGACGGTTCTACTTCTCCTACCTCATCAAACCGTGGACAACAGGCCGCACCCTCTACCAGCTCTACTACTTTCCCTGCAAGCAAAACTTCCTTATGAGGCCCAATTCTCCACATCGCATGCAAGCTCCCCTTTGCATTCTGTCCCGCCAGAGTTCCTTGGATAGTCCTTGAATCTCCCATGGCTTCTTCGTGGGTGGTGACAAAGATGGTTGATTCCGACTCTTCCCTTGACCCTGCGATGCTAACTGTCCAGTCAACCTCTTTGCTTTGTCTACAGCAGCGCCAACGACTCCTCCCTCCTGAGTATCGCTGCCTTTTGCCTACCCTGCCGTATGTAGACCTTCCTCATAACGCCACTCGTTTCGTGTGTTGTCACTAGAGACAGCTAGGAGATGTCACTTCTTCTGGGTGCAAATCAGTCCCTTCTTCCCTGCTACAGTCCCCTTGGCAGCTTCTAACAGTCTTCTCATGCTTTCTGGCTAGGCCCTAATGTACCAGTTCAAGAACCATTCAGGGGTCTAGCTTACCCCTGGAACCTGGATTAGCTCTTCAACTCTCTTATTGAGAGCCGTTACAGATGTGAACTTGTGGGTCTCTCTATGTTTTTCAGCTCATCTGACACTTTTTGCGCAGCAGTTAGATCCCTAAAACAGTTCCTGACTAACTGCGGAAATTCCACTATACTATATCTTCCTGCCCAAACACTCAGATTCTCCTCAAGGCCTACCTCTGCCATCATACTATTCAGCGAGTTTTGTGCTTCACCACCCAAGTAAGATGATGCTACCACAACTTGGTGGTCCTTAGGGATATCCTTCATCTTTATGAAGGTCCTGGCTGCTGCCACCTAACTAGGCAAGTTCCCTTCCCTTTTCTCTGAAGTGAAACAAAAGCTTCTCTCACCCTGACTTTGGGTGTTTCAATGCTAACACACGGGTCTGATATGGCCAAAACAGGGACAGAAGATACAGGTACTGAGACTTCGACAGATTGAGATGTTGGACTGGTACTGGACAGAGGAGGGTCACTCAATGGAGGACTGATTAGTGGGGGGTGATGCTGGCTCTGCCAGTGCTCTGACAATTGTTGAGCTACCCAGAGGCCTGGGGGTCATAACAGGAAGCAGATGGAACTGTCATGGTCTGGGGAATTGCCTGAGGCAGCACGCCCACCTCCTTTGCCAGATAGTTGATGGCATCCACTGCATGTCTCAGTGTGGTGGAGTTATCAGCCACATTGCGTCCCAGAGTTTAAGGCCAAGGTATGACATCCCATCGCGTTCTTGCGCACAGCTGTCCAGACGCCAGTAAGTCCATCCTTCCTCTGCCCACTCTGTCATTTCCTGACGACTGCCCTCCAAACTCTCCGTAGTGACATTGTCCCTCTTTCCCACCATTTCTACTGGATCTATAAACTCCTTTGCCTTCTTCTTCTCCTCTTCTAGTTCTCCATGGTTTACGTCCTGTTCCTCTTTTCTATTGGTCTAGTACTTGGGTAATCGTCTCTGACTGCATAGCAGGGGGTGTAGACCCTCAGCCAAATGGGTTTAGAGGGGTGTAAAGGGGGGTTATATTGGCTTCTTTTTGTATTTTGTCTTTTTGTACCGAAATTAGAGAGGCACGTGCCATTTGGTGATGACCCTCAGCCAGAAAGTTGTTTGTACTTTTCCTTTCTTTTCTTTTCTTTTCTTTTGACAAAACACAAGACTCCTTCTATTCTGGGGAGCAGCAGTCTGGTTCCTTTTCCACCGGCAACGGCGGCAAGTCAAAAAAAAAACAACATAATACAGTTGTACACACGCAACGCCCCTCCCCATTATGGCTGGGAGGTTCAAGTGGGCGGCATTGATTACTTCCCCTCAATCTTGTAAGTCTCCGACCCTTATCTACAGCCCCCTTGGTGGACCCTGTGTCAACGCCAGTGCTGTACAGCCATTCATTTTTTCACAAACTTTTGCACTGGGATCGCCCGGCACCTTGCCCGGGCCTTGCCCAACCGGGCCGTCCCCTGGGGTCCAAGCCATCTGGATGATAACATAGAAAAAAAAGTGGGAAACAACTCTGCAAATTAAGTGTAAGGATGGGAGGGGCGGATTAAACCCAAAAAAAAAAAACTCTGGAAGACGAATGGACTAGCACCATAAGTGAATGGACTCATGCAGTGCATGTGGCTGAAATAGTATGCACATGTAAGGTAACTGTGGATAAACAGAACATGAGTTGGAACCCTGATGGCCCTATGCAGCCCACGCGGCCGTTGACCCCATGCAACGTTGAATGGTGGTTGCCTATCTCATAGAGATGTACCGCAATATTTGCTTAAACCACCAGTACGTTTCCCAGCCATTTTTATCTGACGCGGTCATTAACGTGCCGTGACTTTCAGTGCACGACCTACCTGAGCAACATGGCTGGCGGGAAAACGCGCCGTGTTCGGTTTTCTTTTGGCGCGCAGGGGGGGTCCAGGCTCGGCAAGGCAAGGGTCATAAGTACTGGTTCACCCCTACCGCCGAGCCTCTTTTTGCCGAGGCAGCTTCGTCCTAAACGCCAAGCTTTGCCGAAATGCCAGCGTGGCTTTTTTGCTGCCTTTGCCTGGTGCCGCCAGCCTGTTTGGTACAGTAGCCCCAAACCTCCCAAAATTTTCTTCTTCTTTTTTTTTTTTTTTTTTGAAACTCCCAAAATTTTCCGATTGGCTCAATTCTTGATTCTCAAGTTTGTCTGGGCGAGGTACGGGTGGCTTAAGGTTTGGCTGGACTCCCTGCCCCTGACTTAACCCCACGAGAGCCTAAGACAATTGGGCCTGACTGGCCTTGTCCCTGCTCCTGCTGCTGCCGATACGGCTGAACTGGACCTGGATCTCCCCAGTCTTGGTGTCTTTCCTCAGGTTCTGAGCAAGATATCTTCCTAGCTCTCCACCAAGTATAGAAAGAAATGAAATAATGATGCCTTTTGTGAGAGGCTAGGCTTTATGCCATGTGGATGAAAAGAGAAAGACAGCAATTGACATTCCAGGAGAATGAATAAGGATTATTGGGACAACCTTGTGCAGAAGCTGCCTGAGAAGCAGTTGCTTTTCCTCTTCGGAGAGCGTGCTTTCCTTTATGCGCCTTGTTTCCTGCAAGACAACTCATTGCAGAACCAAAATAACAAAAAATTGCATTTATTTACCTTAGACTGAGTCTTAGAGTCTTAAACTGCTTCATCACCAGTCACTTGCCACATCATTTCAAGCTCGCGATTTTCTGAGCAATATTACTAAGCTACTATTATCTGTTTTACAACCGGTTGGCAGCAGAACCACTGCTGTTCTTGATTACACTTCTGAGCTATTCCATTTTTTTAAAATAGGGGATACCCCCTAACCTTATTGTCACCCCACACAGTTCAAACACCGGATCTGTTTTTCATGAGTTATATACGTGTACGGTTCACCCACCAGGGCCAGTTATATGCGTGTACCCACCAGGGCCAGTTATATGCGTGTACCGTTCACCCACCAGTTATATGCATGTACCGTTCACCCCCACCGGGGCCAGTTATCTGAGCTGTGCCACTGTTGTTTACCAAGTTCGAAAAGGAGTTGGCGATTGGTCTGCTAACACACCACCATTTGACTGCGGGAGCTTCTTCACAATGCTCCAGACTGCATGCAAATTTACATGCAGAACTCAATCTGTGTTACCATCTTTTTTCTTTCTCTCTTCATGTCAAGTTGAGTCCACTAGATCTTGCAGAAGCGTAACGGATACAATTCACTCGGTAAATCGTTCAGATCAACACAAACATTTGCAACCCTCATGAATGTTAGCCCTTCAATCTGAATCAGGGACATTAGTTCCCTGCACCGCTCTCGTACAGATTCAGCATCTGTTTATCATTGTTGGCAAACAGAGAGAAATGGGCGATAGTTTCTTGGGATCATAGTTTTGTGGGACAATAGTCTTTTGGGATTCTCCAATAGCTTATACCACTTATGACACTAGGAAATCAAAACCACTTGAACCAGTTCATCATTGCTGGTAATTATTCCATTCCATGACACTAGAACTTAAAACCACTTCGCAGGACAATAGTTTCTTGGGAGGGTGTCCTTTTTCCCAAAGTAGTGACTAAAATAGGTCTTGAATCTCTCTTGATCTTCCCCTGTCAGACTGCCAAAAAACGGTACAGTATCTGGCCTTGTAAGGCTCAGTGGTTCAGGTCCTGAGATAGTCGTGGCTTAAGTTAACACTTTACCACTTCTGCCGCCAGAACTTAATTGGCCAGAAAGGCAGATGACTAAGAAATAACACTGAGTTTCTTGCTCTCACCTCGCCCCCTCATCCTTGTCTTTTTTCTTTTTTTAAGGGCGGCAGTCTTGAGATATATCCACCGGTGACCGGCCGCAAGTAATTCGAGATTATTATTATGGAAGTTATTGTAGATTATATCTCGCGATTATTATTGGTCATCGAGCTTCTGTTATGACAGGTATGTTCACAGTTTAAGTCTCTTGAAGTACCGTGAAACTGAGGGTCTCAGCCCTGATTGGAATCGTAATCAAGCCATGCCATGAATGTCAGCTATGATGACTCTGACTACGAATTCAACCTGAGAATTCTTTCATTGGGTGTGTCCCGACCGGCCGCAGCAGCTGCTCTTTCTAAAATTTAAACCACCACTACCTCCGAGCCTCTTTTTGCCGAGGCGGACTGCCCCTGTGTACCAAGCTTTGCTGAAGTGCCTGTGAGGCTATTTTTATTTTCTGTTGGCTGGTGCTCCCAGCCATCGGGGTCCGATAGCCCCAAGCTTCCAACGAACCTGGAATGTTACATTTTCAATTCTCAACACTGCCTGAGAAAGGTAGTGGTAGTTTAAGGAAGGAGCTCGACTTAACTGGTTTCCCAGGGCAAAGGTCGTAAATGACAAAGCGCATTGAATAGCAAGCACACTCCCTCCCCCCTGCACTTGCCTTGATGTTTCAAACCTGAGCCCCAGATTCTGTAACCTCAAAACCTTGACCGGTTAATCCTGATCCCTACTTCTTAAACCCAAGAGTACATACTTACTTTAGGACCTGCAGTGCAAAGGCATCAAAGGGAGGGTCTTACCCAACTGGTTTTCGCGTGCTTGCAAGTGAACCTACTTTCTTTATCTTTGGAGAAGTTGTATATTGTGAGCAAGACAAGAGCAGTGCTATACACCCTTTAAATCGGGCCCAGTGCCCAAGGCTATACATCAGCAGATCTCCCTAATCCAGCAGCAGATCATAAATGATCCAATCTTTAAGATCGGAATTCCTCCTTTCAACCCAGTTATGATCAGAGTTCCTCCCTTCACCTTCAACCCATGTTATACATATCAATTTTCAATAGGGACTTCCAAGACGTTGTGTTACGGCGCATAACACAGAACGTGCGCAAGAATAAAACGAGCGTATGTCTTATTTCCCCCCCCCCTTTTTAAAACGGTAACGGCCTTGAGATATCATCATCGAGCTGACCGGCCACAGGTAATTCGGAATTATATTGATTCCATCTGGATTTGAACTTGGGTCCGTATTTCAAGAGTTCACGGGTGTACCAACTAAGGTAGGCCCGTTGGTAAACACGCACATGTTTTCAGGTTGTCATTCTTATGACTATTCCGAGTTTTGACATTTCGATAAGGAACAAGTAACACAGAAAATGTGGTTTCTGAACTGATTTGGTTGTGAGTCAACCTGGTCAACGTTTGGTTGACTTTCATTGTTTCAGTTCCGAAGTGATTTGTCGGGACTGCAAACCCAATGGCCGGAAGAAGAAATATATAACAGAGAAAAGACAATGACCTGGTCAACGTTCGGTCGAACTGGTTTCTGGACTGCTACGGTAGTTAAGTGCGAACTCATGATGTTTCTGGACAAAGCACAACTGATTCGAAGCAAGGACGATCAATAAACTATATCGGCTTGAAGTTTCAATACATGACACGACTGCGGTATGTTCTTTCAGAAAGGCAGACATGCTTAGAAAGGAGAGGTGGGTGGGACATATGCAGAGAGGGAACCTGAAGCCTCCAAGCCTCTAATTCACTGTACAGAATTTCGAAATCTTCACGAGTCCGCGGTTTCATTCTTCTTTCAATCTCACGCTTCCTGTAAGCTTCAGCTTCCCTTCTCTTCCTCTTCTCCTCTTCAATGAGTGCCTGCACATTGCACATGCACGATGCACATACTCAGAACACAAACAACCCAAAAACTCATGATTACTTTTTTCATGGAAAGGCATCCATGGACGTACTACTACCTACAACCATAACCCTTCTGCACATCAGACATACATGAGTCATTGTGCGTGTGTGTGTGGGTGGATGGGTGTGTCCCTTTCTGTGCAGTTGTGTGTGTGTGTGTGTGTGTGTGTGTGTGTGTGTGTGTGTGTGTGTGTGTG